AAAATGTGTTAAAAAAAAAAAAAAAAAATCATGAAAAATCCAGGGAAATATTTTAATGATAGAATAATGATGGTAATAATTTATAAGACAGGCTTTTGTCAAAAGAAATGCTGGAAGCTTCTGCATCAATCTAACAGATTGTTGAATTTGTTTGCTTGTAATTTGTAAAAGCCTGACATTTAAAATATATTTATCAATAATGTACTTGAGATTTTTAAGAGACAATGAAAAATATCCCAAATAAAATGTTCTGATTGTTTTTATAACAATGTAACAAACTTACCTATTACTAAATAGTTTATATTTAAGTAATATTAATTTACTATGTGCCTAAAAATGCACTTACATCAAAATGTTTAATTATTATTGAATAACATTATAGTGGTTAATGAAGTGAATGATCATTTACAGTTAAAGTGTTCCTCACAAGGTGCTCCATGAAAAGGGTCTTGTGTTAAAGTTGGCTTACTCCAACATAATTTAACAGTGGACATAAAATAAATGAACGTGAGGTAAAGTGACACATTTGTGTATCTTTTAAGCTGCCACCCAATAATAATGTTAATAAAATAGTTGATTATACACAAGGAATATTTAAAAATGATGGAATTTTGCAAAGTTTTTTTATATAGAAATCTATCCCACAAATCTCAATATTATGCTACTTTTACCAGTGGAGAAAATTTAAATTTTATAAAATATTTGGTGTGTGTGTTATATATGTTGTTACGTTAACCCCATATTTGTACCCTCACCTCAGATTTTATAAGTATATTTTCAGTACCTTTTGTATTTGCGACGAAACATATGAATCTTAACTTCTTTATTTCTTGAATATGCAGATTGTGAAATATATATTGTTTTTATAACCAGATGAGTCAGGGCCAGTTCTCGGAAAAGAACCTTCCCTTCTACCCCCCCATTTCCTACCTGATCTCTGATGCGTAGGCCAAACAAATGCTGTTTGACAGATAGGTGCGAATGATGTTAGCCAGTTCCATAGTCGCTGGCCAAAACGAACGCTGTTTGACAGAAGTGCAGATGACATTAACAGTGTCCGTAAATGACGCATACCTCTTTTTGGGGGCCAACACGTGACTCAACATATAGCAGTTTTCGTTTCGCACGCGTTGAGGTAACAACAACCACACATAGTTGCTGGCTGCCGGAGGAGTCGGACGTCACCAAAAACCAGTCTTAGCTATTTGCCATTAGAAGAAGCAGTTGTCACCAGAACCAGACTTCGTTGTTTGATGCCAGAAGAATTAGATGCCACCAAAAACCAAAGGACCGACACGAGAATCTAGATCAACATCGTCAACCCAAGTCAGCTATGCTCCCGTAATTTTTCTGTGTTCTCCTCACCATCAACACGGATCGGACGTCGCCAGTCAAAAATTCATGTTAGAACATTGTCAATCCCATCCGTTACTTTCAAAGAAGTGTATAAATATCCTTTGAACAAACTGTACCCCGATAATAGTCAATCGACGTAGATTCCAACCTTATCTAAGTTTCTGCATGTTTTTCCATATCTTAGTCTGCTATTTCTGTATTCATATGTATTTTGCTGCATTAGTACCTGTTTAATTGGTAACTTATCTCCCCATCCCTTGTATTATTTAGTTTTCTTTTTCTTACATTCACACTCAGTGTATTCTATAAATAAAATCTTTGTATTATATATTCTCGTGTTGTCTTCTGTTGTTCTGTGTCTGTGAATTGTTCATTTTCTCTCTGCGTTTACTGACGTCCGGAATCGGAGAATTCCCCTCCCAACGTTCTTTTCTTTATTTTTATATCGAACCTTGGGATCTCTTACTTATTTTTTTTTTTATTTTCTCATTGCATCCCGGCTATCACAATCCCAATGAAACCTCGGGCATAACAATGTATATGCACAGACATATATATATATATATATATATATCTATATATATATATATATATATATATATATATATATATGATACCTACCTCCTGATAAGTGGACAGGATTACAAAAAGTTTTGTTGGCAAATCTTTAGAGCCAAGGTGCTGATTTTATGTATGTGTGTATATATATATATATATATATATATATATATATATATATATATACACACACACACAAAAAGTCACCCTATTGTGTGGCATTTAAGCTAACTGTTGCAGAGAGCTCTTGATTGTACCTTTGGCTTGTTCAGGAGTTTGAGAGTCCCAAAGTCTTTGCATGTGGTAAAAAAAAAAAAAATCATGAAAAATCCAGGAAAATATTTTAATGACAGAATAATGATGGTAATAATTTATAAGACAGGCTTTTGTCAGAAGAAATGCTGGAAGCTTCTGCATCAATCAAAGTTTGGCATACTCGTCTCCTTCACAAGTTAAAAGGTTATCTGTATTTCTTATTATTTCATGAAATGAAAGTTGTCTTAAATGAACACTCTACTAGATCTTTTTACATTAATGTATGCGTTTCACAGGGCTTTTATCCTTGGACCTATGTTGTTCCTAATTTGCATAAATTACCTTTCTGGTGTCATCATTTCTCAGCCTGGTATGTATTCTCATGACACAACTATTTACTCCTGTCTTAATAGTAAGTCTGATTAGTTCAATAAGGTCAAATTGGCAGCTGGCCTCAAAAGTGACATACATTGTTATTAAATGGGGCAAAGAGTAGCATGCTAATTTTAATGTCTCCAAAAGGAAACTGCTCTCTTTTGTCTGAGAGAACCCTTTTTACCTTACATCAGCATGGTTGATGCTAACCTCCAGGAGAGTAAAATCATTGCACCGTCTTGGACTAACATTTTCCGTTGACGTGAGGTGGAAAGATTATATTGAATCAATTGATAAGTCTGCAGTTATGAATGTTGATTCACTGTGTCAAGATAGACAATTTTTTTGCCAAAATCAATCTTACATATTTATAAATACCATGTCCTTGCTTTGAATATTGCTGTCATATTTGGTCTGATGCTCCTGCTATATATTTAGAGATTCTTGATAAAATCTAAAGAAGAATCTGCAATGTTATTGGTCCTGAGCTGACACTTTGGCTTTAGCCACTTGCCCACTGCCATTTTTATAAATACTTTTATGGTGTTAGTTCTGATTTTATGAATTCAAGTGCAGTACTAGATTGTCAGCAAGCTCTCGTCATTTGACAGTAGAATTGGATAGATGTAACCATATATGTTCTTTGCTAACAGTTTCTTCTCACAGTTCTCGTCTATGGAACCCTCTTCTGGCTTCTTGCTTTCCAGCCAACTTTGATCTCCAAAATTTAAATGCAATGTCAATTGTTATCTATTGTATTCTTAATCATTCTTCTTTTATTGTCCTCTCTACTTAATAGTCTATTTTCCTCATTTTCTAAAACTCGGTAATCTCCTTGCATTTTAGTGACTTTATTGCCTTGCTTGGGGTGATTAAAAGAGAATGAGATATGGAGAAAAAAAAAGAAGTCCCGGTATTTATATTTTTGTGTTGTTTGATTTTCATTCCTTAATCAAGTTTTATGTGCCTTTGACTTCTTAAATGTTAGTATGATTTATGTCGTTCTGTATTCAAAGATAGAATTTCCTAATTAGTCTTTTATCCTATCATTCATATATATATATATATATATATATATATATATATATATATATATATATATATATTACACACACACAGTTGTTATCTCAGCCCTTCTCTATGGTGCTGAAACTTGGACCCTATGTCATAAGCACATAAACCAACTTGACACCTTTCACCTGCACTTTGTTTGTGCCATATCTGGTATGAAATGGGATGACAGGGTCAAGAATAGTGCAATGCTGAAGAAATGTAACAACATCACAGGCATTGAAACCATTCTAGCAAAGATACAACTTAGGTGGGCTGGTCATGTTGTGAGAATGGATGAGTATAGGCTTCCAAAGAAGGTGCTATATGGACAACTACCAAACTCCAAGTGTTCACTCTTATGCTACAAAGACAAATTGAAAAACAACTTCAAATGTTTCAACTTTGATCTTAGATACCTGGGAAGTCCAAGCATCAAACTGAAAGTAGTGGCGTAAGACATGTTCCATTAAGCTAAAGGGTTTTGAAGACAGTAGATTGAAGCACTGTGATCAGTTTCTCAAGTTCTGAAGCAGATATGTCATCAAAATCTTGCTTTAACAAATTTCATCTGTCAGTGTGGCTTTGTTGCTTGCAGCAAGGTTGGGCTAGTATCACACTTAAGAAAGCACAAACGAAATATATGTTGCCCTTACCTGATTTTATCCACAGTAGCCCCTGCTAGCATGCATAAGTGTAAAACGAAAGGCTCTATCCATTGCTGACCCTCATTTATTGTTCATGATAGGAGAGTCCACATAAACTTTAAATTAAATTACTTATACTTTCTTTAAGAGAGCACAAGCAGACACCCAAATGATAATTTTTTAAAATTATTTGCATGTAGGTAATTTGATTGCAAATACTTTTTGAATAACTTCTAGTTTATAAAAATATGTTTAGTAGAAGAATTATTTCTTAGAAAATTTTAGCAATGCCAAAGTCCAAGTCTATAATAGTAAAATGTTAAAAAGATGAACAAAATTTGCACCAGTTTATCTAAAAAAAGAAAAAAAATGTCAAAAATCTTTCCTCTTAATAATAACATTTATATAATAAAATTATTTAATCAAGTTTGGAGCTTTTTTTTTTTTTGTCCTTTTTACCGAAGTATTGAACTTACCTATTGTAATGAGAGTTTAAAGCTGTTAATAAAAATGTTTTTTGCAAAGCTTTAGTGACATTTACTCAGTGTGTACTGTATTTGTGATAGTGTTATATTTGAATTCATAATGTAAATAAAAACAAACAAATATATAAAATATGTATTTTTTTTTCTTGAAAAGAAAATTTCATGATTAACAAATACTTTTTTAACACCCACACACACCCACACACACTCAACAAAGTCTAACCACATGACAATCTCCTTTGATTATTCTATAAGAATCCTAAAATTGATTTCATCATTTTTTTCTATCGAGAACAAATTTTACTAAATGTATTAATGCTTGTTGTGATGAACATGTTTTGAGCTGTTGGATCATGCGTACAGCTTCTTTGGCATGTTGTTCGGCTAAGATACGTGTTTGAGCAACTCCATCACTCTGAAAAGATGAAAAGTATAATTTATGATGTTTTCTTTGATGCTGGTTGTGAATCAATAAATCAGAATGAGAAATACTAAGAGAGATTTTGAAACACTTAATAATATATGTATAAAAAATAATTATGTAATTAATATCAAACAATTATTATTACTGATCTGTTAATTATTTTTACTTGTTATTATAATCATGGGTTTTTTATCATTATAAAGAGAATCCATATTTAAAACCAAATAGAATTCAAGTTTCACTTTTGTAATAATATTGGAAATTGTATTCCCCTTTAGCATAATTATCAATGTCCCTTTTAAGGGATTATAAAAATTTTAAATACATGAAATAATTACTATGGTCTTATCATTATTAATCTATATATAAATTGAAATACTAAAACTTATGTTGTTATTAATTAACAAAGAATAAATTTAAACTATCTTCAGGACATTTGCACACAGTGAAGATTAATTATTTTATACAAAGTTCTACTAATCTCATATTCACAATTTGTGCAAATCTTGAAATTTGTTAAATACAACTTACCTTGGCTACTAAATCACGTGCTCTTCTTACATCACCAACTTCACTAAAACGTCTCATAATCATTGGATGAAGTTCAGGATACTACAGAAAACAGAAAATTAATTAATAGATAATATTAAGCAGGTGCTCATTTTTCTATTGGCTACTTTAATAGTTTGCATAAAAGATGCCAATTTTTTTCTATTTATATTAATTTTTTGGTTTCAAAATAAATAATAATAACTGCTCCCTTCCATCCAGACACAAATCCTAATGATGGATCTTCAAGCCCCAGATGAAGGGCAGATTTTCAATCCCAGGTTCATCCTGATTTCAAAAGGTATATGTCTATGTAGAGCAAGTATGGCCCAATTTAGAGGGATTTCAGGCACATGGATGGATAGACAGAATTCGCTGTATATTTATTTATATAGAAGATGACGGTTAAACTGCCAATGAAAGGTTTACAGACTTTACAAATAAGATTGTACCATAGGGTTAAGACAAGAAATTAAGTATGTATAAGTTTATTATATGAGTATATGTATTATTTTCTTTATTTAGCATTATAACAAAAATAAACACATTATTAATTGTTGTTGTCTTGTAATTAATTTTGATTTAATAAACGTTACTTCACATTTGATAATAAACAACAATCGCTTTTTCATTTAATCCAGTGGTTCCCAAACCTTTTTTCTCTGGGCCACATTTTAGAAATGAAAATTTGCTTGCGCCTTACCAAATTTTATGTGATAAAATGTACATAATAAAAAAACAGTGAGTAGGTTAAAGGGAGATAACCGCGGCTCCTCCAACTTGCTAAGCCTAGTTATTATATTCTTAATATCTGATATAATGCAAAAATGACACAATGATAAAATCAGTAAATAATTATTTATAACTATCTATACTGGGACTCATGTATGCAATTATAAGTAATCCATAATAATATTTTAAATTTTGAAATCATATTTATTTTTGGCATATGAATCTTTTGAAACTGTTTCTAAATCTTTGATTGTCTTTAAATCAGTTCGCCTCACCTGCTATTTTCTTCTGCCACATCTATGAGGCATGCCACACTGTTTGGGAACCACTGATTTAATCCATTTGCATAACCCATATTCAGTAGCACACTTTCACCCTCGAATAGACAACATTTTCTGATAAAAAAAGAAATACCTCCTGAGCAGCAAAAAGTACAGGGGCTGTGGCTAAGCCTAACTTTAAATCAGCAGTTGTTGGTTTTCCCATGACTTTATCGCAAGAAATAAAATCCAATATGTCGTCAACCAACTACAATAAATGAAGTAAAAATAAAGACATTTAAAAGAGACATTATAAGATTTTTTTGTCACATCTTGAATTAGATACAAATGCAATTTTCTTTTTATTAAAAATATTAAATTTCTGTTAATGAAAGTTTAAAATTGTTGACGCATATAACATACTTGGGTATTTCTAAAAAGACATGATGGTTTTGTGTCCAGTTTTGTTGGATTAATAAATAAAACAATGAATCAATTTCAAAATTGTTGAAACACATACCTGGAAAGCTAAGCCCATGTTACGACCGTAGTTATAAGCAATATCTACAACATCTTCACAACAGTTACCCAATATGGCTACCTATAATGAAAAGAAAATAACTATAAACTGACAAATCACACTGAAACATTTGGACAGACATACACTAGTCCCCATTATCCTTGGGAGCATCTTCCAAGACCACCAATGGATGCCTGAAACCATGGTTAATACTGAATACTATATATTTTAGGAAAATCTATGACAAAGTGGAAAAGGTTTTTGTGTGTGACGTTTTGTCCTTTAAGACGTCATTGGATTAAAGTGATGTTTACATTGATGTGACTCCACATGCACATGAAGGTTATTAAACTTCCTGGTGTTGTTTTTTTTTATAATACTATCTAGATTGTTGCTGCAGCAGTAACTTAATTTTACAGTATTACTGTTAAAAATTTTGTGTAGATTAGAAGTCTTTGGGAAATGCTTAGTGAGCAATTTGAAAAATATTTTCCCTATAGAAAAAGACAATATGTATAAAGACAATAGAAAAACAGTATTATTAGCAAAATATTAATCTATGTCCAGCTTTTTTCCCCAACATCACCTTTCCTAACAGAATTACTACTATCCCAAGCCAACGTACACAACAACTATACCAAGAAATCAAAAGAAAATGGTTGAATCCATCAACACAATAGAAACAATATTTCTACACATGAAAGTACTTGATGTAATTTTCAGTTGGCAATATGAATACAATAGCATTTTCTAAATTATTCTAGTTGCTAAGGACATTTTGTTTGTTGTTAATAGTTACTTTGTTTTTAATTTTTATTTTGCCTTGAAAAGTCCACAAGATATTTTTAGATATTAAAATCAAAATTTTATCTAAAATTACTCACAGCCTTGCAACTATTAGCAATTAAAGAAGCTGTTTTCTTGAAAGTTTTTTTTAAATAATGATTAAATCTTTCATTTTCATCTTCTTTTGATCCAAGCTGCATGAATTCCCCTGAAAATGCAAAAGAACATTAAATAGTGTTATGGAAAAATGTACACGTGAATAAATTCAAAATAAAGAATGTGCAAACAGTGAAAAAAATATTGGGAAGCTATGCTTAAATCTGTTCAAGAAAGTCAAGGAGATATTTCTACAGACACGCAGCTACATGCATGCGTTACGGTAAGTTAAAGCTCAACACCAAGAATCATTCTTTCAAGTAGTTTCAAAAACTGATATCATCACTTTCATATGTACAGAATAATTTCATGTTAGAGTAATAATTCTGGTTACATTTGGTCCCTATATGAAAGTCTACAACTGACGCTATTTTCTCTATAGTCTCCAAGGCTAAAAACAATACAAGTTTCCTATTTAGAGAAAAAAAAAAAAAAAAAAAGAAGTGTGTGTGTGTGTGTGTGGTGTGTGGTATTTACTTGATTCCCACTAAATCAAGATGTGTGTGTGTGTTTTATATAATTGCCCAATAGTCAGAAAATAGTAAGAGCACATGAAGAAATAGGACTTGCATTTTATTTTTCTACACTTACCAAAAAAATTTGGAACTTGAATAAAGAAGCAGAAGAGCATGAATATGTGAAGTCCAAAGCTAATTTTTTACATTTGGATCAGAGAATACTCAAATGGGGATTTCTTCACGGTACAGCCAGCATATATATATATATATATATATTTTTTTTTTAATTTCTGCATGAAGGCACAATGGCAGAGATACATTTAGATAAGAGAATAGTGATCTGGGATTTGCAATTCACCTCATCTTCAGGTTAAAGAGACTTACAGGGCTCCTCACTGCAAGTAAAATAGATGAGGACATTTTATTTGCAGAAATGTCATTTTTGACTTTTTTTAAAAAAATAACTTAATACTAAGATGTTAGCCTTTGCAAGTTCATATAACAGTTAAAGTGAGATTTATGCTTTATTTTTCAGTCAATCAGATTCGCAATAATCAAATTCTTTTAAATTTTTAAAGGTTTACATTTTTTTTTATAAAATTCTTCAGTGAATGCCAATAAGCATAAAATAGTTTTAAAAGAATAAAAAGGAAAGAAATCTAACAATGAACTTTGATACTGCTTTTACTAAAAACCAAAATAAACATGAAAAATGATTAGGAAATGAAAATTATTTTAAAAATGAATAGAATATATAACAAGTTATTGTGATTGAATATTTTAATGCTGCTTGGGATTTGATAGTTTATTCATGTCTGAAAATTTGCACTGTAGAAGTAATTAAATGCATTAATAGCTTTACTTAATATATATCACTTTATCAAAAATTACAAACAGTAATAAATGTTTATCAAAAACATTATCAAAAATAATATTTATATTAAGACTACACTTTTCAAAAGACAAAATTAAGTGTCAAACAAAGTATACTGGATGGTTTAGCCCTCACCCTGTAGAAATGTGTTCAAGCAAATGATGTGTGATGTAATAGGTAAAGAGGTAGTGTAGTTGTTGCAGCCATAGGACACAGACATAATTTAACATTTGAATGCAGAATGACTGCTGAAACCATAAAGATGGGACACTATTTCCAAGGTAGCAATTTCTCTAAGTTTTTCTTAGTCAACAGTCGCAAAAGGCATACAAGAAATATGTGAATTCTGGACAGACTTTTTCCTTAAAATGCCATATCTCTTCAGGACACTGGTGAGCATAGCTTTCCACAGATTCCTTTTCTTTATTATCTGGGAATTGCTATAGTTTCTTCAGAAAAACATTGGAATAGTTTCTTGTTGCTTTCTCAACAATTTGAAATTCAGAGTTTTCCTTCTCTTACTGGTTACTGCTCAAGGCTAGAGAGCCCAGTCAACCTTGCTATTTGACTCAAACCTGGTGGGAGGAGAAGCAATTGATTCATGACTTTCCTAAGGACATTTATATGAAAGTGAACACCACAGACTAGGCTAGAAGTTGAACTTGGTTCCAGTGCCATGTGAAAACTATCAACCCTTACAGATGATGCAAGAATAGAATGACCAGTGATTGAAAAGAATGGGGAACATTGTATTAAGACACATCTCAGTCAATTCACTGTACAATGTACACTACATCACATGAGGTTTCATAATCATTAAGCATCAAGGGGACTATTATTGATATTAGAGGATCAGGTTACTGGGTCAGGGAACATTGTCATTGGATCATTGAAAACTGTCACCTGGCCAAAAGAGTCATGTTTCCACCATATTCAAGCAGACAATCAGGTTCATACAAAAAGAAGAACATGAGAGACAATGTCAGCAAGGTGTTGTGCAAGATTGTCATGATTCTGTAATGGCATGGGTTTGCGATCTGTTGGAGATTGTAAGAACCACAATTGAAATTGGCACCTGTTTTGACATGTGGGACATTAAAAGATCATGTTGCAGGCTACTTGCACCTCTTTATGTCCTTCATACCATTTTCCCAAAGTGGTGATAGTTTGCTCCAGAAAGATATTGCTACACTCCATCCTGTGTTGGGGACAAAAAATTGGTTCCACTTACACATAGTTGACTTCTCCAGATTTATATCACATTGAGCATGTATGGGACATGTTGCAGATCTGTCTAAATTCCCTACATTCACACTAATATTTTGGCATTTCAGTTTATATCCATCTGTGAAAGTGAATGAAATTTCTCAGACAAAAATATTATCATTCATTGCATGAGGTTTTTATAGACCTTTAAATTTTTTTTAAGCTAATCCAAAATTCATGAGCTTAAGGAGTAAATTTATTTCGTCTAAACAGTAAAAATCAAAAGCTACCATTTGAAAAGATAATTTCTTTTATATAAAATTACCAATTATTTTATACTTAAAGTATTTTTGGGAACAGCATGTCAAGAATTTTAGAAGAGTTACACATCTCAAATTATTTGGATTCCTAAGTAACAAAACAATCAAATATTGTTTTTAAATAAACATAAAAAATAAATACAAGAGATAGAAAAATAGAGTTTTTACTGTTGGAAAATTATATTTTAGTAATGAAAAATATATTTTTAGTAATGAAATTGGGTGTAGGCTTTAGAACTGTTTATTGATGTTAAGTAGTAAATTAACAGAATTGTTGTTATTAGTTCTCTGAATGTTAATTATTCAAATATAGAAATACTATATATTAATGCAATGAAAAATTAAGATACCTATTTAGGTGTATAAGTCTGCAAGTATTTATTTTATACAACAAATACTTATTTTTTTACAATTTTCTTTTATGCCTCTCCATTAATCACATAAATCAAACAAGTAACAATTTTTCAAAATTAGGCTAATAACTGAGTCAAGCTATGGAATTAGTGAATTTTATGTCCAACTTTATATCAGGTTTTAATAACTTAAGATTTCTTGGTGATCAAATTTTGTACAATAATAAACCATTTAATAACAATTTTTCCAGAAAAAACATGGTAAGAAATAAACTTGAAAGTAAAGAATGTAGTTTGAAAATAAATCTTAAAACCTTTCACTAGCTGACTTTGAACACTTGTTCATACATACTTACCTTGAGTAAAATATATTAAACTTCTGCTTTTTCATAGATTATTAAAAATTTCTGCAGGTTCATTTTTTTTGTTTAACTAAATTAGCTACCAATTATTCATAAAGGGAAAATAGAAAAAAATAATCTTAAACCTTTTCAGTGTTATTGCTTTATTTCTCTTAAATTGTTTAATCCCTTATCATTTTACCTCCTCTATAAAAAAAAAAAATTCTATTATGCAACCAGGAATTTCTTTAAACAAAACAATTATTCAGTATTTTTATACATTCAAGTCTATGTTCAACAATACATAGAATGGATTTAACACACTTCAAATCAGTTTCTCAGTTTGAAGTTAATAGTGTTCATCATCTTACTACTATTTAAATGCCTTTGTACTTGAAAGCAATTCCCAATTTCTTTTAATTAAGTGCAAAAAGACAAATCACATTGTTAAATATAAATTCAAAATATTTCTATATCGGTAGTGGAACACTTTTCTTCCTTCATTATAGTTAAAAATTGTTTCTCCAAGTGTCATTTGACCAGTTTAAATAATTTCAACACATTATAGCTGTCACAAAATATGTCCACCTGACATAGATATGATTTGATAAAACAAAAATTCTCCTGAATAAATTGTAACACATTCTTTACATTCAACATAGAATAAGGGAAAAGTGATTTATTTTTTTTATATATACAAGCATTAGCATTTTTATTATTTCAAATGTTATTTTTTATGTGAGTAGCTCTCTGTTTATTTTAAACAGCATTTATTTCATCTACTGGCCTACAAACACAAGAAAACTCAAAGAAAATGTGCCCTCTGGTAGGATTCAAATCTGAATCTGGCTTTAATGCTTGAATGTCTACTCAAATATTAAAAAAATAATATTTGATATAATAAAAATGTCAGACTAAAATCCATTAAACATTTAGTATATGTTACAAGTTTTCATCAATTTTACAAATCTGAATATTAGGTATTTCCTATCTTTAATGAAACTCTTATTATTCTTGACTAATTCAGTTATATTGTTTTCATTTTGTTGGAGTATGAATCAGAACTAGCAGAATAAAGAGCAACCATGTTCTCTCAAATTAAAATTCTTAACTCCCTTTCATATTTTTAGTTTTAACATTGATTCTTTATTTATTTAAAAAAACGTTCAGTTTTTAAGAAAACCTAAATAAACTATTATATGAATAATGATTTTTAAAGCTGTCAGAATATAAAACTCACAGCTAAATGTGGATATTCAACAAAAATACATGCATTAATAGAAATTATTTCTGCTCAGCCATTGTTACTGTGTATCTTTCTTGACTATAGCACTAATATTTTTGCTTTAAGCAATGTCTGTTTTATTCAAGTTACAATTAATATAGGAAAAGATCCAGAACATATAATAAACTTATCATTTTCCCATAACAGTTTTCAAATCAATGACTAACTATTAAATTTATTTTACTTTTACAAAGGTTATTGTTTTCTGGATTTTGTCTTGTAACCTTTGCTTAATTCCTGTTGGTACAAAATATTTTTTGAAGAAAATAAGTATGCCAAAATAGGCTAGACAATATAGTTGTGTGTATTAATCTTATATTTGTTACTTCTACATAATTATGTAAAAATAAAAGAAGTTAAAAGGCAACAGGAAACCAAAGATATGTCAAGGAAATTCACAGCTAAAATAAAGAATAAGGAATCTGTGGAGAGCCATGGTTACCAACGTCTTGAAGGAACATGGAATTTAAAAAAATATATAAATTACTTGCATTTGGTCTCTTTTAATTGAAAACAAAAAACAAAACCAAAAAACAAAGACTTTGATATATAAAAGGTGCTGAAAAGTCATCAGCTCAACCTACATTCTAAAAATCAAAATTTTAATGATCAAACCTCAGAATAATGATCTTGAGAAGTAGGTTGAGCCAAGAATTTTTCAGCACCCTCTCATATTTTGCAAAGTGTGAGGATATATGTTAGTAATTTTTATCAATTCCCTTCAAGCAAGGCAATAATGTCACTAAGACACGAGGGGTTACTGGGAGTTAAAGTGAATGAAAAGACTTCAGAAGGAACTGGAAATCCAATCCTAAACAGGACACAAGAGACAAATCTCTACTCCTTTTCAAGGAGTGTGAACTGAATGATAGGCAAATCAATCTACTCTTATCATATTAACATTTCATTTTTCTGATATATTAAAGACTAATAAAAATAATTTCAATGTGTCCATCTTAAGTAATGAACTAGAAATTCATTTTGAACAGTGATCTCAGTAAAACTGGCTTATAAATAAATGCCAGGTACAAAATAATGTTTTTACTCAAAGACTAAAAAGTAATATGTTTGTAACCAGTACTTCTTAAAATTGGGTCATGTAAGAATTCCCAAATTAATTGGTAATAAAATTTTCATATATGACACATACAAATTGTGTGTGTGCATATATATATATATATATATATATATATAAAATAGGATATAGAATCCCAACAAAATTTTGAAGAAATATGACAAATAGAAAACAGTTTCATTGAAACTAGATTTGATTGTGTGTTTCACCTTTCTAGGCTTCATCAGATCAAAAAAATAAAAGAAAGAAATATGTGTGTGTATGCTTAAATAATAAATCATTAGTACTTTTCCTGCTAAGCTGACATTTCTTGTGGTTAAAGAAAAGAATGAACTTGAGTAATTTTTAAAAAAAGCTATTAATATTTACACTGTATCTTTTCTTTATAATTCTTAATTCTTGTTGAAAATTATTTATATATTTTCCTAGTTGAAGGTAAATCTTCACTTTATTTTCAGAATGGCTTGAAAACCTTTTCTGAAATTAATTTAAGGCAAATCCTCATCCATTTTTTCAGAATGGGTAGAAAGTAAAAGATTTATGTTTTAGTTCTGTCCATGTGGTTTTTGTGTTGACAATGTGTATAAAATAGGAGACAGAATCCAACAAAAATATATATATATATATATATATATATATATATATATATATATATATATATAAAGTGTACATCATTTATAAAATATTTAAAAAGCAAAGAATTAGTTAAAAACAATTTGGCTGGAAAAAAAAATTATCTGAGTACAAGAATCAGGAAATTTCCAATAAATTCTCATATGAAATATATTTTTACTTTCAAGAATGATTTAAATGAGAAACTTACCTTTAACTAAATCTTCTATGACACCAGAAATTACAGTTACAACATATTCGTTTTGTAGCTTAGCCAATGCTGATGATGCTTGTGACAGGATGAAGTTTCCAGCAAGAATAGCCTGGAAAAAATTAACATTATTATATTTAGAGCATACACATATTTGAGAAGACAGCTTATATAAAAAGTGAACACTGAGGTCAATACTGTAATAGTATGTTTCTTGCTCGAATGCAATCTTCAAGTCATGAAGATTATGTTCAAGCCTGAAACAGACTGTTGACCCTAGTGTTCATTTTTATGTATACACACACTATCCCTGATATTGGGCAATTTTATCCATAAATATAGCATACTATAAAAATATACATAGGTATCTACTAAAATAATATTTAGAGTAATAAGAAAGTGTCAATAAAATACACTGATTCCTTTGATAATATATATATGTATTATCTTAGTGATTACCCATGTTTGAGTAGACACTTTGTTTTCGTAAAAAAAAAAAAAAAAAAAAAAATCAAACATGGGCAACTACTAAAAAAATAATATATATATATATATATATATATATATATATATATACATACACACACACACACACACACACACACTGTAAGTAATTCTAATACATTTACTTGTTTTAAAAAGAAATATAGTATATTAAAAATTAAAAGTGAAAATATTTTTTAAATCGTAGTTAAATAAAACGTATTCTAACCTAAACACCCACCAAAAGACTAAATTACAAGTGTAAAATTTCAGCTGGCTTGGGTAATAAAAATTTAAGTATACAAATAGAAAAAAAGCCCTAAGAATTTTTGCTGTTAACAATAAATTTAAAAAAAAATCCAGACGACATGCATTTAACAGATGTCAGAATTCGTTGAAAAATACATCCCTACCCCTACCAAAACGTAACTAATAACGGATACATCAAAATACAGCGATAATGAACACGTCTTGTCTGGATGAATGGATTTCTCTGTATCCTTGGAAACGTGAATTATGAATTTTTGCTGTGCCTTTAAAACCCAGTAATTTTAAAAATAAGTTACTCCAAAATTCGCTTGAGGATGAAATGGAAGTAATGTCTTTAATTTAATTACAAAATTAAATTCAAGCTTTTAGCTTCCATTTTTGAAACATGGTTAAACTGTGTAGCTAAAAAAAAAAATTAAAATCAATTTATAATATATATATATATATATATATATATATATATATATATATATATATATATATATATTACAGTCACAAAAAAGTAAATAAGTAAAGTTTTTAAATTATAAACTGTATTAGGTTTTCTTAACTATGCTAGTAATTTTGATGGGTCCTCCGGTCATCCTCAGTCATGGAAACTATTTCGTTTTAGGTAAAATTCAGGTAGCATCCGAGATGAAAAAATATAATGCAAATCGAAATATGTTTTTTTGAAATGTGTTATTGATAACATATACAAACTTGTGGAGCATGCAGTTGCAATGCTAAGGTTGAATTTTTGAAAACTTAAATGAGAGTGTTTTTTTTTTAACTAATATGGCAATTTAAGAATTTTTTTTTTGTAGTTTATCAGTCAACGTTGCTAAATAGTTCAATAAGTAGAGTAATGTCTCAGTTGTTATCGCAAAAATGTTTTCGCCTCAGATGCTACTTGAATTTTACCAAAAAGAAAATAGTTCCCATGCCCGAGGATGATTGGAAGACCAGTCAAAAGTACTTGCATGTTTAAGGAAGACCTAATACAGTTTATAATTTTAAAAAACAAGGATCATTCATCAAGTTATTAGTGGGTTAATGCATCTTTAAAATTTAGTAAGCAAAGGGATTTTGGCATTTTATATCATCAACTTTACTAATTTACTTTTTGTATGAATGATTCGTTGTAATATAAATTGAACTGCATCACATATTTGATATAAATAAGTGAGAAAGAGAATTTGAACAGGCCACTGATACATGTAAATAAGGTAATCTTAAATACTGTGCATGGGATGATCTAAAATAAAAAAAAAACAATTGTTTATTTTGTACATCAATTTTGATGGTTGTTATATATATATATATATATATATATATATATATATATATATATATATATATATAAAAAACTTTTTACATATTCTTTATATAAGAGAAATCAACATTATTAACTGAATGTATATTTTGTATGGAGAAAAAGTTTATTCCATTTATTTATTTAAACAGAAACTACATGACTAACAAATCATATTTATACAATGTGAATCTCAGTAGACACTACAACAGGAGATGCTGTTATGCATTTTGAAAAATGTTTACTGCCAAATATAAAATATTAGTGGAATATCAGTACAATCTGCACTGCAACCTGAAATAATCATTTTTTCTTTTTTAAATATTACTATATGTTAAACACTCCAAACCATGAATATGAATTCTTATTTTATTATTAAATTTGATAAAAGTTAGAGGGCGAGTTCAGTTAACTATGCAAATTAATTGTAAATTGACCCCCTATGTCAGAAAAAACATATGCACATATTACATGATTTCTTAAAATTTAAAAAAAAAACACAAATTTTCTTTGACATATAATCTGATTAAAATTTTTTTCAGTTTTGAATATCAATTTTTTTCAGTGATCACTTGGTACAAACATCTTTTGTTTTGGCTTATGTAAGGGGATCAATTTACAATGAATTTGCATAAATGACCCACACTAACTTTTATAATATTTAAAAAGAAAAAGAAAAAAAATATTTGGGGTATACATGGTCTTGAGTGCTTAATCTATGAAGTAATATGAAAAATAAAAAATGATTATTTCTAGTTGCATTGAAACCTCCATCAAAATATCTATAACTTACATGACATTTGGCACTGAAACAATTATTAGTTTCTATTTAACATTTCTAAAAGAAAAGGCTTTGAGCTCTTACCTTTCGTTCTCCCCATAAAGCTTTAACACTAGGTTTACCACGTCTAATATCCGACATATCAATAACGTCATCATGTATGAGACTTGCTGTATGAATCATTTCTGAGATCATTGCTATTACACGCTGAGGATATAAAATGCTGGAAAAAAAAAAAAAAAAAATATATATATATAAAAATATATATATATATATATATATATATATATATATATAAGAGGAATACAGTGCATTATTCTAAATTCATATCTACATTATGAATTAAAGTATAATTTTTTTGGTTAAGAAAGAAACCAAAAAACAGAATAGATAAAATATAGATATAATAAAAATAAAGATTATTATTTACAGAGGTTTTTGGATAAAGAATACTCAACCTGTAATAATATTTGGCTATCAATGATTAGTATATAGTGAGAAACATAAAAGTTTTCTGGTTATAATTTTTTATGAATTTTTTTTTTTTTTTTTTATTATGCTCATTTTTTTATGTCTGAATTTCTGGGATGAGGAATTATTATTATTTACACTATTTACATGTTGACTATTGTCGTAATCTTTGTTGTTGTTATCGCAACATTTCAACCATTGTGCCTTCTGGCCTTCATTCGCTAACCTACAGGGAATTTCTAACTGAACTTTTTATTTAAATTATGGGTGAAGATTGTTCTCATTCCACTGCCCATGTCTAGTTCATATTTTAGTACTGATCAGTTATCACTCACCCTGTTTCCACTGAGACTAAGCCAGAACAAACTAACATTAAAGATTAAATAAAATTTCCACTAAGCCCAAGTATAAGGATTGAACTCTCAGCTAATATATCATGATTAAATAAAGGGTTCAGTTCAAAATTCCCTGTAGGTTACCTGGATTGACATATATCTGATGAGGGACGGAGAGTACAACAGCCAAATATAAATCTATATAAAATGAATGGTTTCATTACTCAAGCCAGCTGAAATTTTACACTTATAATTCTCTGAAACTTCAATTCGGGCTTTAAAGTTCTACATTTTATGATAAATCTTTCATTTATTTTAGACCAGATGTCAGCTTTACAGTCAAAGAGGAAATTAAAAATTTATATATATTTTTTTTAAAGAAAAACAAAAACCTCAAAACACATATACCTACATTACAGTTTCAACAACAATTTTCATTTTTGCTCTCATTCAATAATTGAAAAACAAAAGTAAACAGTGGGGGAATAAAGCAGTTCCATTGATGGAACAAAGATAAGTAAACATGGACAAAACATCAGCATCAAGGAGGTTTCAAGGAAAATACAAACTGCAAGGAAACTGCTAATAACACTTAGAAAGAGACAGTTGAGATTTCTGGTACACATAATGAGGAAAGAAGGCTAAGAGAATTTAACACTCTCAGAACATAATGAAGACAAGAGAAGCAGGAGGAAACTATGAGTAACCTAGTTGATGAGTTTGTGAAGTGGTTGGGTTGGTTGATTTTACAACATTGTTTAATATTGCAGTCTTTTAAAAATTATATTTGAGTCTAAGGTATTTTCTTGGTAGGTGGCTCCTTTTGTGGGTGTCTTAACCTCTGCAGGAGATTCAGTCAGCATATTCTAGGTCCAACAAGACATCTGGTAAGTTTGAGTGAATGGATAGCAAGATAAGAAAAAACAAACAAACAAAAACCAGATGGTAAAAGGACAAAAGTTATTTTGAGTAATAAACAACAGAAAGTTGAAGAGAGCCATAATTGTCTACATTCTAAAAGGTTATGGCATATAAAAGAATACTGTACAGGCTTAATATTAATTAAATGTCACCTAACAATAATTTTATTAGAAGTCCTTTGGTTACTCTTTAATGATATATTTTTTCTTGCATCCTATCAACAATGTCTGACAGTCAAATACCCAAGGATCTCCTGTAGAGAGAGCCATCATTTTAAATCATACAAGCATTCAATATATTCCCTTTAGATTCACACAAACATGAAATTGAAACAAGTTACAGTAATATTTAAAAATATTTACTATACTGTAATAGTATCATCAACAATGATAATAAGGTATATAGTTATATTTTTCTTTAAGCTTGACAGTTAAAACTGGTACTTACCTATCATCATATGTATGATGGTAATTACAACATTTAGCCATTAGGATAACAACCATGGGTCTAAGTGATTTACCTTGGCCATCTATATGGTAATGTGCAATACTTTGTAATTCTGTCTTATTAGATGATGTGAGCTGTAAGAAAATTAAAAGTTAATAATTATAAAACAAGAAAAAATATTGTCATTATACTCATAAGTTATTTAGATTATATCTTCATGTTTATATTTTGACTGATGCTTTCTTCAGCCTTCTTCAGGTGTATATCACAGCCAGTAATTTTAAAATCTTATCAACAATTGTTTAAAATCTTTTGACCTCATTACAATTAAAAGAATTCAGAGTTCATGGTGGGAAAGATTAGCAGAAATAACATTGATGCATGTTGAAAATTAATGGTTGCAACAGAAAAAAGATCAGAGAATTCATTAACTGAAATACTTATGTTCAAAATAATTAACACTTTGAAAAATTCATGGACTACAGTACTATATTGATTATTTGTACCTTGATTTTGCAGATTTTGGTTATCTGGACGTGAAATGAATAGAAGAAGTGAATTCATTCAAACTTTTTTTCAATTATCTAAATTAAACCCATTCTAATATTTCATCTCAGACAAGCATTTTGAGAATTTAGAAAACCAAAGTCAACATTTGGAAAAAAAAAAAAAATGCTAATAAAATCAGTTCAATTTAGTCTTGTTAATTTTCTTGTTGTTTTCAAAGAACATCCATTTGAATTGTCACAACTGGAAACACAAAAATTGATGCATTTTTTTCACCAAAAATAAACTGGACAAAACTTTGAAGAAATCACCTGAAAATGGTATTTAATGATATAAATGTTAAATTTCTTTCAGAAAATTACTTTTTCCTTTATCCTTTTTTGATAATTTAGATATTCAGTTACTTGGAATTTTGAATTATCCAAACATGTTTTTTCAATTCCTGTTCCAAGATATCTGAATAACTGAGGAAGTACTGTAAGTTTACAAGCTGTTTTAATGTTATGAAATTTTCATAATATAAAAAGATTTCTTTTGCTCATCTCAAATTCTAAATATCTTTAAAACATTTATAGCATTAATAATATGTATATGATTGTTAGAAAAACACTACAGAAGTCAAACTGTGATTACAAGAATTCATTTTCTTACTAAATACCACAGTACAAACATGTTTATACCTTGTGGATTTCAGACAAGATGGGCTCATTCAATAGATTTTAATAAAATTTATTTTACAAAAGTTGATTCCTGCCCTTTCTACAGGAGATTGTTTGCACTAATATATTCAAACACAATGACTATTAAAGTTTATATTCCCTGCTGTGCAGGGTAAAAATAGAAAAAAAAATTAATTCAAGAAAGTAAATGGTAAAAGATATTAATGGTAAATTAGTATATAAAGACTGGAGATCGTTGTATGATGGACATAGTACCAATTTTGCTGTGACAACAGAATAAAAAAAGGGATAATAATCTGATGAAAAAATTATTACAGTTTAATAAGAAAATCATTTCTAAAAAAGTCTTTAATTCTAGTTTGAAATCAGCTCTTTTTTTGTATGTAAAATACCAGGTATCAAAGATGAACAGATTGTATTTGTAAATTGTGAACAAAAATAATACATAGAAATTAAGAAACTTGCAAATTCGTATAGTTTTTTTTTTTGGTAAAGTATTTTATGAGCTTTTTGTTTCATGTTGAATATGAATTAATTAGATTATTGGAAGAGCTTAAAAATATTTTCAATGTATTTCTCCTTTTCATATTGCAGTCTTTTAAAAATTCTGAGTGCTTTTAAATATAATCTGATAATTATTCCAGATTTTAGTTTGTTGTTATGATTAGAAAAGAAATTTATGAAATCATTTTTAGTAGTTGATTTGTGATGGACACTTAGTTTTAAAAAGTTCATAAAACATTTCAAAATAGAAGAGTGAATCATTCTGACAAAGCCAACAAATTTTTCTATGTAATTGCAGAAAGAAAAATAAATATTGAATATGTAGATTTACCTTTTTGATATCTTCAGAGAGTGTGGAAAATTCTTCTTCAACTAATTTATACGAGTTTTGTAACGTGAATGCTTCTTTCATATAATTTGTTGAGATCTTCCTCTGACACTGAAGTAGTCTGGAGGTGGTACGTGAAGTCACAGGTAAAGTAGACAAAGAAGAATTCATTGGATGGCAATTGGAGGATAAATGCTGACAGAAATAAAAACAGAAAAGAATTATTCTTAGATAGGCATATTCTTTATGAGAAAAAAATATGAAGAGATTGCATAGAAGCAAAACTGATCATTTAGAAAATATGTACCAAAAAGTCTATTGCTGAAAAATTGAATAAAAAAAAAAAAAAAAAAAAAAAACAAACATGAAAATTTAGTTTGGATTTTCAATGAAAGATTTCAAATAATTTAAAAAAAATCTAGTAGTAATCATTCCAAAAGTAAATAACAAACAGAATGAAATATTCTTTGTCAGGAAAATGTCTCTTGTAGATAAGAAAAAAGGTCTTGGAGATAAATATATATACATTTTCTTTTTTATATGCAACTATACATAAATTTGTCTCGTCTCTATTATTGACATAAGTGTGGCTTATGCAACTCAAAAAAATGGAAAGAAAAGAAACTAAAATTAAAGAAGTACAATGTTATTTTATCCTGTGTTCAAGAATTCTACCAATTTTTCTAGTGTAGTTACATTTAAATGATTAAATAAGGAACAAATAGAAAAACTTCTGTCTGAATTTCTGGGATGAGGAGTTATCATTATTTACATTTAGACTATAGTCCTCATCTTTGTGAGTTCACTCCCTGGGCTGGGCAGTGTGTGTACTTGGACTCAGTGGAAACAGGCAAGCAATAACTGAGCAGTACTAAAAATAAGAACTAGACATGAGCAGTGGAAAGATTAAATAAAGGGCTCAGTTCCGAATTCCTTCTAGGTTACCTGGATTGATATACTCTTGATGAAGGCCTGAGGACACAATGGACAAAACGTTGTGACAAAGATGAAGACAATAGTTTGAATTCAAATAATGTAAATGAAATAGGGAAACATTTATAAATTTAACATATTCTGTTTTTATTTTAGCTTATTTAGAAATTTTCCCAATGTTTTTCTTTTCTATTTATAAGACTCAAGCATAAAAAAACAACTATTTGAGAAACTAGAGTAATAATTTTTTATACAGAAATTAAGTAACCATAGCACAGGTCCAAATTCTAATTTGTTAAAATGAAAATGGTGTAGTATGGCAAATATATAATTTTTTCAAGTAAATTTTCATATAAAAGTAACATTACTTTTATATAGATAGTTTTCAAATATATAATTTAATGAACTCATTAGCATTTATTTTTCTTAGCTTTATTGAACCTTCTTCAAAAATACACTCTAATAAAAAAAAAAATAATAAAAAGAAATCTTATAATGTAAATTAAAAATCACTAAAAATACAATGTCACATTTAATTATGCAAGTCAATGTCTTAACAATTGGCATTGACCAATTTGTGTTAAAATTTCCAGGATATATCTGTATGAGCAAAATATGTTCAATTCAGTTCATATCTATTCTATTGAACCATTTTCTTTTTCCACTTGGAAGAGTTATCTCTTGAAAGATGAAAAGGAGACAACATTCACAGTTGTATACAAATTGTGAAAACATATTAATCTTCACACTATGGATGTATGAGTTCACCTATAACTTTCTTCAGTCTTCTTTAACACTATGTCCAATTCTATTATACAAGTTGATGGTTTCATAATATTTTGTATTAACTAAGCAATGTTGCTAAAACTTTCAGGGTATACTTATATTTATGAGTAAAATATTGTGTTTCAGCTTATAATGTTAATTTTTATTAAAAAATATTGGTAATAATTTGTTCAGATTTTATATTGCACACAATAATGGGCAATATAATTTTATAAGTAAATCCAGAAGATACAAGTCCATAGAAATTTATGAGATAATTGACAATTCATAAACTTCATCAATCATGTCAATCATTGATTTCATTAACAGTACTTGCAAGTTTATATGGTGGACTCTCCTGTTGTATTTGATGTATGAGGGTCCTATGAACATACAGCCCAGACACCAGCACACATGATTTGATTATAGTGGTGAAGGCTTTGTGCAGACCCAACCATACTTTTGGGAGGGCCAAATACAGAGACCTGGTGCACTACTTGCCACAAAGTCCCCAAACGACCCTCCGCAGGTTTTGAATTCAGAGTTGTCCTTCTCCTAGACTAGTTGTCATCCAAGGTTATAGAAACTCAGTCTGTCCTGCTATTTATCCATAGCTGGAGGGAGAAGAGGAGGAAGGGTATTAGCACGTAAATGAATGTAATGGATTCGACTGGAATTCAAACTTGGCTCTCTGATTCCTCAATCGAAGCCACTTTCCACTGTATCTCCTAGGAAGTTATATATATATATATATATATATATATAAGAACATAAAGATTTTTTTTATATATACCACATGGATAAAAATATAGGAAAAAGAAGTTGAAAATGCAACTGGAGTCTTTAAGAATATTTATTTAGTGTAACTTTACCAGTTTCACAATTCTGATTTTCAAAAGTTACATTGAGATAGAGAAAAGATATACCAATATATATATATATATATATATATATATATATATATATATTCTAATGTTGGACTATACATTTTTATTGGATTCATATCTAGAGGCTGTTCTGTTAATTTGGTGTCTTTGAAACCATTTTTTTGGCAAGGTGGGCAAAATCAACTTTGCAGAATTGTCTAGCATAAATATGTTTTTAGTTTAAAGAGTTTTTACTTTTACCTATACTCCTAAAAATATCTTATCTAAAGACTGAAGTTTCCACATTTACCCTGAAAGTATCAACTTTAAAGAGACCAGTAATTTTACTGCCTGTAATACTAACCCCCAAATTACACAATCTCCGTCCAATTATCTTCAAATTTATTTTGGTTGATTATTTCCATGAAGGAAGCAAACTTTCATCTCAGCTATCGTGTCTATCCAACGTAGCTCTATATTAATCAGTAAAGTAGAAGCTCCAAAAAAGGTATACAGTAAGTATTATAATAGTGGTTCTAGGATTTATTAAAAGCAATTTTTAATATTTTTATTTTCATAATTTTTATTTTTTAATAAATAATGAGTGTGTGAATGATGGGGTTGGAGAAACAGTTTGAACATTTGAGAGATTGATATGTTTGTATGAGCAATAAATTTTTTTCATTACTGTATACCTACTTTTGCACCTCATTGTACATTTGAAATTAAAACAAATATCAATAATAACTATACTATTATTTACAATGTCATGAAAAACTCGAGTTGCATCAAATCTTACAACCAAATACGTTATTTTATTATAGATATTTCGAAAAAGAGATGTTAGATGCTGAAATTCATATGGTATATTTTATTTTTATCTCCTGAAAAAAAACTGTACCAGCATTAGCTTCTTACTAATAATTTTATTGTGGAACCATTGACTTAAATTAAATCTGACAGTGTACAAAGTCTAAGTAAGCAGTAACAATAACACTATCAAAATATTTTAACATGTTCATATATAAAGTTCATTAGGCGATACTGAAGGACCAACAATTTAAAAAAACTTTACTTGTGCCCTGAAGACATTCTGGTTCTGGATAAACCTAGAGATGCGTACTCCAAAAGTGTATTGAAAACTTCTGTCACTCCCCGCCCGCAAAAAACCCAAAGCAATATTTCGATGACCACTCATTAAAAATAAAATACTGATTTTGGACCAAAATCAGTATTTTAAATGGACTCAATTGGAATCCTAATGCACTCCAAAGATTACCAAAATTTTTGGTATAATCTTTGGAGAGCATTAGGATCCCAATTGAATTGATTGAGTCAATTTAAATAAAATTTTGTTTTGGTTTGACAACGAATTTTAAAGTTAAAGAGGAATTTCGTTTACGCTTCAATTCATTCTGCATATTGTTTTTGTTTATAATTTAAAAACTATGAATGAATTGAACAAATATTTAAAGAAAATGGATGACTTCATTTTAAGAGTCTTTTTTAGAATAAATTTGAGCAGAAAAAAAAAAAATTCAAGCCCGAAAAAAAAAAAAAAACACACACAAAAAAAATAATCCAAAAGAAGCAACAATTACAAAATTCCCTACATTTATTCAGAAAATTTAAAACTAAAAATGTAAAAAAAAAACAATACGCCAATAACTGCCTTTAAAAAAAAGTAAATACTTTAAACTAAAAAGTTAAAATTAAAAACTTAACTAAATATAAAATTACAACGCGTAGCTTTTGTTTGAGAGACAGAATTAAAAAATATAGCAATGTCCCTTTTCCTGTTTAAGAACCTGAACTCTTTTTGTAAAGATGCGATAAAAAAGACGTTAGCCTTTTTAGAGGTCATTCGTTTATTAATTTGACCTCGACACACACACTGTTTAAGTTCGAACTTGTAACACAAACCATTATCAGAAGTAATGCAAATATTTAAAAAAAATTCATTAGTCAAATAAAAAAAAATACATGAAATTAATTTTAAAATGTGTTAAAAAAAAATAAGATATATGTTTGTAACGGTTTATGAAAGATTTTTAGAAACAGGACACTAAGTAACTATTACTTTGCTAATTAAAAAAGGGTTATTAATTTTTTGTTAACTTATTTGTTATGGTACACGATGCAGAAAAAAAATCCAATTCCGTGCAGTAGCACTGATCATAAAAGACAGGTGGCCTGTATGGATGAAACTGATGTTACTTACTCCACTAATGCCAGAGGTCGATGCCTGGGCCCAGGTTAAAGGCCGAATTTCAAGGTATGCACTCATGACAATGAAGATTGGTGAAATACAATCTTCCTATCCTTATTTTCCTCTGTAAAGTATTAACTAGTAAAGTTTTATAAAGACAAAAAATGCATATTATTATTATCAGTGTGTGTTACCTCCTGCACGTTTTCCGGATACAGATACAAAGGGAGCGGACGTAACAAAATTATTGATTCTATGAAACAATATAACTTTAAATGAAATATTTCTTTTAAACGAGAGGAGAATAAGAATAATCAATTCTTACAGGGTTTTCATAATGATTTTTTTTTTTAAATATTCATGAAAAACTGGTAAATTAAATGAGGCGTTACTGGATGAAAAAAAAAAAAAAAAATTAAAAATAAATTTAAATGTACGTTAATGCTAAATATATGAATTGCTATTTATGTAATTTCATGGAATAACTTAAGGGAAGAGATTTTGCCTTAAAGAACAATAAAGAAAAGAAAAGCAAAAAAATTAGAATTTAAAATGCAGGCAATATTTATACGGGATGGTCGTTACCCCTGACAACGGAATGTGAAGTTGCTTAACCTTTATTTTTTAAATTACATAATATTATGTAACAGAAAATACAACACCGGCAGCCAAACATATAAAGAAAAAAAACGAGAAATCTTTACTTTTTGTGCAATGATTTTATTTAGAGGACACATTCTACATATGACAATGACATCAAGTCGAAGAGGAATGGATTTTTCAGAATTGATGAAAAAAAGTAAGAACAAGTACAAAAAATAATTTTTCATGGAAAAAGGTTTAATCAGATAAAAGACAAAGTAAATTAAAATAGGAGAAATGATTTTTACAAACAATCAAAAAGATTTTTTTCTGGGAGAATGCAGAGCAAGATAAAATTTCATCTATTTTTACACACGCGCAAAAAAAAAAAAAAACCCAAAAAAAACCATTCATATTCAATCAAATGTACTCTCTCACCTTACTATTCTGCCTGGATAAACACGCAAGACAAGTTTGGGGATTGCAATGTTTTCCACAAAATGTACCGTACATTTTTTCCATCCTGTAATGTATCCGACGGGATACAATTGTAAATCTTAACATCGGCCCACAAACTAACCTCCGTACTGACGCCATTTTCCGGCATGACGCGACGGCGCCACAACTACGAAAGGGCATGTGTACAATACCAGTCACACCCCCTTTCTTATTTTCGTATTTTTTGGCACGTTGCCTTAACGAATCTACTAACTAACAAATCATAAAAATTTAAACTTTAAACAAGATTCATGATATAGCAACACATTAAAATGCATACTTCTATTTTTTTATTTAAAAAATATTTTAAAAGTTCAATGACAAAACTTTTGGTCTTTGGTTCCTCTTTCTTCATGCTTTCAGTTGGTTTAAAGTTTAAAGTTAAGTTCTTCATAGTTCCTGATTATCTTTCTCCCGGGCAAAATCATTTCCTTTACGTTACTAAAGGTGTCTGCAGTGATATACTGATGGAACTGATTAAAAGGAGCTCTTACCTGCACACATTTGTGCTTACGTAAATTAAATACAAGAATGCGCATAGGGTTCTTACTTAGTTAATCCCAGCATGAAGGCAATGTACTGCATTCCATTCAGATGGGAAAATTGCTTCCTGACCATTTTACTTCCTTGATAATGGATCGCTAGCACTGATTACCCGGGAAAATCTTCGTGTTTCAATTCAGTGACAAAATTAGCTTTGAAACTGGACATGGATGACACATTAATATTAGTGTTTATAATAACTAGTAACAGTGTAACTGTAACACCCATAATTTTTAAAGTTTACAAATCAACAGTAAATAATTCAACAATGATTCTCTCAGGAAATTCTAAATTTGTATAGTTGATCATGTAGGAAATTCTGTTGTCCAGGTTTTTATATTAAAAATTTGAATGTCTGAATTCCAAACAATAAATTAATAAATAAAATAAAGAAAACATGGATATGTCTGTTAAATAAATGATAGTAGCGTGGGGCTGAGGGGGTTAAAATAAACAATTACCTGCAGTGATACTAAACACAGAGAACTGGATGTTAACCCGAAGACGTTCAAAGGGATAATGTCATAAACTGGTTTGTATGCATGAGGTGCCATGTATTTGTTAAAAATGAATAAATAAGAAATTCTAATAAATAAAAAGTTTTAGCCAGTGTTCATGCTCAAATAATAAATGATTTCAGCTGAGCCCTTTTGATCCCAAAAACAAGAACAAAGAGACCTCTTTTTTAATCAAAACTCAAAGGGGAAAACAGACTCCAAAGAGGACAGACCACATTAAAGGAATCTCAACTCGATTGACTGCTTACCTCTCTCACACATCAACCCAAAGAAGATCTCACATCAAAGGACACTTAAGTATATTTCACAAATTTTATATTATCTTAAACTTAATTCTTTTAACTTGTCTCTTTAATTGGACATGATTCTGTTTACAGATACATACATCCTTCAAAGAACATTTACTTTAAAAATTAGTATTTTGAAATATAAAACTTTTGTTGTTTATAATACTTGATTTATTTTATCTCATTTCATATCTATTCTATTGTGTAGGTTAATCTATTTAACGCCAAAAACCCCAGCCAAAAGTGTCCCACGATCACCATATACCCATGGCAAGAAGATTAACGGAGGATGATAATGTTGAAGAAACATATGGGTAATTTTAACAAAAGATAAGGAATTTATTCATGAATTTACACACTGGAAGTAGTGTCAGTAGCTCATTTCAGGAAAATAAATCAGAATTTTTAAAGTCTATAGTTTTTAATGTACTATATTGTCATGAAGAGGAAATATTCACTCATACAACAGTAAATAAATTATCTGGCACAAAATAATATTAAAAAATGTTCAAGACAAGTAAGATAGTTTGTTGCTCACCAAAGGGATATATGGTTGTATATGTTAAAAAAAAAAGTAGTGTAGAAAGTTAATTTGAAATACTTATATTTCTTAGATTGATGGAATAAAATTCTTTGAAGTGCCTTGTACTGTTTAGAGGCCAATAATATAAGTGGTGAATAATTTTACACTGGTGAGAACTTCAATGCGGGTTGTAAGGAACTGAAACAAAACCTTTCACACGACTTCAGACACTCTTTGATTAATTTAATTTTTCTCTTCATTTTATATTAAGAAGAGTTTACTTTCTTTTCTTGGCTGACTGGCTAATTTCTGTGAAAATAGTTTTTCAGAAGAAAATTTCACATAGGCTTGCAAATTTCTTTTCTTCTTCCTCAGTCCTCCAAATTTGAAGAGACTGGATGAAGGGAGTTATTATTTCACACTCACTACAAATCATTTGTATTTACAATATTAGTATACAATAGTATATATACATGAATTCAGAAGTGTTAAAAAGTATTAAAAATAGTCTTTTGTTGAGTCAAAGACTTTGGTTCACAGAAATCGCTGTGGTTTGGACAATACTTTTTAAATAATTGGGTCACAATTAAAAGTTTGGTTGAAAAAGACTTATCATAAACAAAAATTTGCTGATCTTCTTTGATATTAGAGGTGATTTGTTTGAAGTTGCCAACTGGCTGTCTACGCTGTTGTAGTTGATTTGTTTGAAGTCGTCGACATCTTTCTTTCAGCATATGCTGTGGAAGAAGGAAAAAATCTATTTAGTCATATCTTTGCATGTGTTCAATGATCTGGAGATAGCCACATCTCTGATCTTTATTTTAAAAATGAGTATATTTGTGTGTGGTACAAGGCCAAAAGGATTGGGTAGAAGGGCTGTTCAACACTGTCTATTCTCCTCCAAGGTAATCTGAATGACGACCCATTTACACTAACAAATTACATGCCTACCACAAAAACTAATCCCTCTCCATTGAATATCTACATATACCAAAATGCTGCATTTTTGCAGGGGACCTACACCCATGAATATAAAAATTTCTGAATATGTACAAATATTATTCTTTATCTTGATTGAACTAGGCTTTTATATTTTCCACTCCCAAATCGTTTTTGTCTATCCCTCAACATTAGTGAGTAAGCTTCTTGATTCTTGTCTATTGTGGATTGGTTGGTTGCTCACTAACACAATAGTTAATTTCTTTAAATGTTTAGTATTGTTGAGGACCGTTGGGTGATGAGTATGTAGAACAACACATGTGGGTAGAATTTCCTGCTAGCCGGTCCAACTGCATGAGAAAGTTGGACTTTAATTAAGTCCAAAAAAGACAAAGAAAACAAACAAGACTGATAAATAAATGTAAACAAATATATGTATTAACAACAAGTACAAGTTACAAGCACATGGACAGTTACATTGAGTGTGTGTGGTGAATATTGTGTGTGTGTTGTGGTGAGTGTTCGTACGTACGTGTATTGTTCTTAGCGTGTTTCCAGAATTTGGGAAACACTGTATCTGTGAGAGCTCACATCTGCGAAGTGGTATAAGGCTGAAGGTCTGAGGAAAAAAGAGATTGAGGTGAAGGGTCAGCCAGTATTTATAGCCAGGGGAGAAAGACCCCTGGTGAAGGGTTAAGGAGCTGAGGAGGAGATAACTCTGACAGTATATCTTTTATTTTGATTAAATGGATTCATTACTTCTCCTTTCATGACAGATCTTTGAAAGTCAAAATCTGTGGTTTTTGTAAGAAACTTTTACCAAAATTAAGAAGTATAAATCTACATGCATCAGTATTGAGACAACATGAGTCCCCCACCAAATCTATGATACACCCCCTGCCCCCACTCTACTACATCTTAATTTTCATAAAGTAGTACTCATATAAAATAGAAATTTTATTGTAACCTAATTATGTGCAATAATGGATTGTATGCAATATAGGTGAAGAATTCAACTAGAAACAGAATCATGTCCAATTAAAGAGATGAGTTAACAGAATTAAGTTTAAGATAATATAAAATTTGTGAAAAGTACTTAAGTGTCCTTTGATGTGAGATCCATACGTTTTCTGTGTTGACATTATGTTTTAAAATTAGGATATATAATACCGACAAAGCTTTTTAAATTTTTGACACTTGGAAACGTTCATGAAAGTAGATTTGTTTAGGAATATATCCGATAATGCATTTGATGAAGCCTTAAATGGCAAAATGCATTACTGGATATATTTGTGATCCTTGAATTTTTTTGCATAAATTTTAACCTATCCTGAAAAAAATTTATCTGTATAGTCATGAATCAGTCATGAGTTTTAAACGCTTCAAAAAATTACCTGTATCTAGAGCAACCCCCTATTTTTTGCAATCATAAAATCTTGCACTATATTTGAGTATTTACAGTAATTTCACTTAATTACTGATGTTTTTGAAAATATACTAAGTCAATTAAAAATAAAAGCTTACATATCATTTAATCCTCAATTTGCAATAACATAATATGTTCATCAGTTGACATGAATATTAACTATTACGAAAAATTTAAGACTACATCTCAATTACCCATTAGAATAACAAGATCTCATTTCAAGAGATGAATTACAAATAGATTGTCTCCCTTCACGTTTTTCAGCCATAAATTACATTGTTGTCACCCTTTCATTTTACACGTTATCGTTATGGGAGATACCATTTTCAGTATTTACATCCCCATCTCTGTATTCTGATTTTATTGAGAAGCCCAAAAAGTTTGTTCTGCTTTTGTTGTTAGATGTTAATAGATTTGTTTAATTCTAACGAAAAAAATTTCTTTTGAATGTATAATAACAATTGTCCCATCAGCATGCATTAAAAAAGAACAAGATTTATACAATTTATAAAAAAGATACAGGAAACTACTTAGTGTTTTTAAGTTTTGTGATGAATAGTTCCAGTAGATGTGATTGATAGTATTCAAATGAAAAAATTACTTGAGAATATTAAATGTTATATAATGCAGGTGATGGCCAGCATAGTCAAAATATCCAAATCAAACAATGAAAAATCAGTTACCAGCTTAGTCTTGTTGCTTTGATGTGTAGCTTCC